CTAACAGTCGTAGTTTACAAGAATTACACGTTAACAATATTACTTACTTTTTCCTCTTCATACTAAATACAATACATATATGACTTTCCTTCTTCATCTTCTTTTCTTAACAATAAATATATTAGTGCTCATTTTAAATTCTAATCATTTCGTTCTTTTTTGTATTTTATTTGAAGTTTTTTTAGATTTTTATGTATAGAAGAACCTCTAAATAATTTAATATCACTAGATCATCCACAAATAAATCATCATTTTTCTTAAGGAAGATAGTTAACTGTTACTGTTGTTTCTTTTCTAAAGAGGCAGTGACTTTAAAAATCTTTAGTTTTTTCTCAGGAATATTCGAAAGCAATTGCAAGTATTCCCATTCTTTTTGATAAAACTATTATAATAATGAAAATGATGATAATGTCATTAATGAAACTAAATATGTTTAAAAACTCTTTTGTGCTTTTTATAATACCAAAATTTTAAAAAAAACAAAACTTATTTTTTAAAGAAACTTTATTTTTTATTAAACCTTAATCATACAATATGTCTCTTAATATTTTTAAACACTTTTTTACTAAAAAAGTCTTGGACTTTCAAAAACTAAAAAATTATATTACATTAGAACTTGAAAAAGAGACTTTGCTATTACAAAATTTCTCTCATATGAAATACCAGAAGTTTTCTGATTTGTCAAAAAACTTAATGAAAAATATTTAAAAGCTTTTCCAATAGAACGTACTGCTCAAGAAAGGTTTCTTAACAATAATTTTATGGACAATCTTGTGAGGTTTTATGCTTACAATTTACATAAAATTAGAATAAGCAACCATGAAATAAATAATACAAAAGATATTATCTCAAATATAATAGAAACAGCTCTTCTCTTTAAGGAAACTGATGACATTATTTTGACTATTGATAAAGAAGAAATTAATATACAAATGGATACACTTAATGATGATGATATATTAACTGATAATAATAATATTATAAGATATAATAATCTTTCTTCTTCTTTAATGTCTTCTAACCCACAACAATCTTCACTCAATAATCATAACAAACTTTTACCAAAAGATTAAAATAAACTAAATAATAAACAAACTTACGAATCAATAATACAACAATCTAAAATAACCTAAATGCATCTGTAGATTAATTTAACATCAATAATAATATTGATGTATCTCTACACAATCTGATAAATAACAACAAAATAAATCATAAATTACACAAAAATGATCTTTATTATACATTAAAAAATAATTCTCAAGTGATTCAACCTAATAATAAAGGAAGCATTTTTACATCACTTTTAGCATTTACTATGCTAGAAAATACTAGGATAGAAAAATTAGAGTTTATCTTCTCTCTTTTTTTACAAAAGCCAGGATTTATTAATATAGACTGGAAGTTTTATAATATAAATGCTAATATTTTTATAGAATTTAATAATAAAAAATTGTTATTAGATATGATTGATAATGCTTTGATAAATCATCTTAAGCTTCCATTTAATATAATTAATGAAACTCTAATTGAAAATCAATATTACAACAACCACACTTACAAATTCAAATCTGTTCCTGTTAGCATTATTCAAATTATATCAGTAGAGCTTTTACCTATTTTTGTTCAATCATATCCATTATTGACCAATATAGATATAATTATGATTCATCATGTGATATTATTGTTTCCTTTAAAAAAATTAGAAAACCCCACCAGCTTAATGTAACCTGAGCACATAATATAAATAGACATATTATTAGATATGCACATATTGACATATTAATAGAGGAATTGAAGAATAAAAATAGATACGTAGCTGATTTCAAAGATTTTAAAATAAAACATCACCTGCTAAAGCTTTCTGTACTCTAAGAATATATAATGCAAGATCTTGTTATTTTATAACAATATTGCTTATGCTGCTTTTGCTTCTGAAAAAGATATAAATTCTGCCTATTTACAACAAATTTTATACAATAAATACAAATTAGATAGTAGACCTAGAGTTCTTAACTAAACATACACACAAAATGAATTAAGCTAATCTTTAAACACATACCATTTTAAAAATCCCTTTAATAGTTAATGAAGTGATATACTTCTCAATTAAAGATAAGAATATATAATCAAGGAATCACACTTAAAGTCATGTATAAAGATGGTGTTGCAACATTGTGACGCTTATTTGTCACCTGTTGCAACTTAAATTTTAATAATGTTGCAATTTGTTGCAACATTGTGATGCCTATTTGTCACCTGTTGCAACTAATTGAGGTGCCATCTTTAGTCATGTAATTTTACCAACATCCTCTTTAATATCTTACTCTAATTCCAATAAAGAAAAAGGAAAAAATCTTAAATTAATAAATTCTACATCATCTTTTGTAAATACATATAATAATAATTCCAATTTACTTGATTTAATTTTGGCTAAACTTCAGAAATTAGACTTAATTAAAACTTATTTAGCTAAATTATATTCTTAATTTTTTACATTTACCAATAATAATGGGCCTATAACTCATCATTTATAATATACTCTATACCAGGTAAATCACAGATAAATAGTATTCCTACTAATAACTAGAATACTTTAAGTTTTAATATAGATGTTACTTCCTTTCTAAATAGTCAAGTTTCTCAATTTTACAATAATAGACAACACAAAATTAATCAAATAGACGTAAACTTTTCTTGTATAAATGATAATTTAAGCAATAACATAATTAAAGGAGATGTTCTTACATTCATTACTTACAATATTAGAGGAATCAATAATGTTACTGATTCTATTAAATTATTACAAATAATAGAATATTTTAACCTAAAAAACATAGATTTCGTCAGTCTTACAGAAATACATCACAAATCTTTAATACTTTATAAATATAAACAACACTAGCATTTCACTACTTTTTAAAGTCAACCTGACACAATGTTACCTTATGCAAGGGTAGTCCTTCTTATATCAAATAATTAGGTAAAACATGTAGTATCCTCTTTCACTTTTAGATCCTAGACTGCTATATATTTACTTATATCTAAAAGGGCATATCAAACTTAAAATTATTAGCTGTTATATTCATATTAACTTAAAAGATCCCAAAAGTAGATATAATAGAAAACTTCTTCAAAGACAAATCTTAGATATATTAAATGAATGCAATAAATAATAATGTCATATAATTTTGATGAATTTTAAATACTAACATAAATGATATCATGATCGTTTAAAATATAACAAAAAACTAGGATGGTGTTTTGATCTTGTGAAAGGGCTATCATATAGAAATTTCACTGATTTTCAATTTATTAGTAATGATCTTATCTTACCTACCTTTTTTTCACTATAAAACTCAATCAAAGCTTCCATTTCTAAAAAACTTGACAAGATCTTTATATCTGCTGATTTCATAGCTGACTTTCTTTATTGTGATATTTTTGAAACTACTTATATACAAATCTAATCACAAAATAATTTACTATTAATATAGATTTTTTCAATAATCATATAATAATCATATTATAATCATAATTTATATTAATTAGCAATATGCATGTTATTATTATTTAATAAATATTTAAATACTATGTCATATATAATTATAACATTAATATAATATATATTATAACATTAATATAATATATATTATAATATTAATATAATATACATTAATTATATATTACAACAGATACATTAATTATATATTACAATATATATATTATCATTATTACAATATATATATTAATATTATTATAACATTAATGACAAATACATAATTACATAATTAAATAATAAAATTTATTTAAAATATATTCTTCATTATTTTTATCGTGAGATTTTTCTAAACAAAGATTTGTACATTTATGTGCAAAATATACTTTTGGTTGTTTATCTACTATTATTAAAGCTTGTAAATAGTATCACAGATGATCATCACATTTTTGAAAGTAATAAATTGAAAATCCTGTTACAAGATCGATATTTTCATCACATTTTTGAAAGTAATAAATTGAAAATCCTGTTACAAGATCGATATTTTCATTTTTGTAAAACCAATCAATCAACAAAAAGAATTATTATTACCAAAATCATCTCAATAAATCATAATTGTTCTAATCAATGTATATGATCATTCATTAATACTATTAGAATCTTTTATATCAATTGCTTTATTAACTCATAATATAATATTGATATAAATATCAGCTTTTAAACATACGGTATATTAAATAAAATTATAATAATTAATATGACATTGAATAATAGCATTAAAGTTTTTGTATACATCTTGATAAATTTTTGTAATATTGATCAACAGATTTTCTGCAAAAAGAATGTTTGATAAATCTTGTTTTCTAACTTTAGATTGTTTTCATAATCCACGTACTCAAATATTTTGAAAGTCAAAATAAATAGATGAAATTTTCAAGTCTAAATAAAAAAAATAAAATTTATAATTTCATTTTTAAAAATCAATATAATAAAAAAAATTAAATCATAATATCAGATACTGGAATTATTTTCAGTAGCACTTTCTTCTTCAATATCAATTTGTAATAGTAAATTAGTTCTGATATACTAATCATCTAATAATTTATGCAAATTTGCATTACATGTAATATTAGTAAATAAATCATTGACTTTATCGTATCTTATATCAGATCCACTATCCAATAAGTATCTTAAAGTCTGAAGAGTATTATCACGTTTTGAAAGATCCATCCAAATATCCTTTTTATTTGTATGTAAGATAACTCTTTTATATATTTATAGACTGCCTCTTTTAATGTAACTGAAGTATTAACTAATATTCTGAAATTGGTTACGATTTTAGATAAATGTTAAAAGATATGAAGGTTTAGTAAACTTGAAAATGTTTCTTGGAATATCTATTAAATAAACACAATCCAATTTATAAATAAAAAAATTATTTCCATCAGATAATGGCCGATCTTATGTTAAATTATCTAAATAATAAAAGTATCAATTATAATTCAATTAATGTTAAATATTGAATTTTTTACTTTTAATAATGCTTCCGTAACTTGTACAAGCACCTTTCTCAAATGAATATAATTTTTATATACATATAGTGACTTGAATACAGCTTTACAAACCTTAGTCATTTTTACTCAATAACTCACAATAATGCTTGGAATTTGTGTTCAGTTACCTAAAGAATATTTATTTTTTATTATATTGATAGTTTCAGTTTTATAATATTTATAATTAATAGCACAAATTAAGATACAAAGCATTATTATAGTAAGGCATTGTTAACCCTACGCTCAGCCCATTGAACTTAGGGTAACTATGACTTAATAATAGGGAGTAATGTGCGAGAAACTACCAAGTTACTGTGAAATAAGTCCTATCACAATCAATCTTAGGTTTATACTTTTAAACGAGTAAATAACTTTAACAATTT